TAGTTGGAGTACAAGCAGGTAGGACAGTAAGAACGGCAATCTTTCACACATCCTCTCCATCTATAGCTAACAGCTATATGATTAGTGTGACTCCATTTCTTTGCCGAAGAGGGGTTACTCCAAGAGACGAGGTGATGTTTGGGGTGTCTGAAGTTTGTGCTAACGAGGAACAGACCGTGTTCTGAGCATATGCTAAGAAGTCTATCCCTATTATCTGAACGATCGCTATTAAGGCCATAATGACCATGATGGTTGTTCCCAATCCGGTGAAAGACGACCGACGCGAGAGTTTAGGTCTCCAGCCAGGATCACGATATCCGTCTTAGATTCTTAGAGAAGAATTTCATGTAGGTTGTGATAGGAGGTATCTTTGACTGTATCTAGGCTAGAGTCTGTGGGAGCGTATGCAGAAACCGCGAATAATCACCGTCCGTTTGATTTCTACTTTTTGACTTTACTTGGGCCTCTGAGTTACAGTGTGCATAGTCGGCTAACTATCGGGATTCAATCCAATAGACCAGACTCGGCCTTGGCGCACACACATCTGTGGACAGCGCTGTGACGGGGCGAGTGTAACCCACCCCTAAATCGGGCCATTGACACTTGTCAAGATCCATTGTTCGACAGGGTTTCCCAGAAGAGGTCAATGAACTGAATACTGGACACCGGCTCATCTAGAACCTGAATGCTACTTGGCAGTTTGCACATGGCTGCGCAAAGGCTCGAGTGCACCTTAGAAGTCTGGACCGGGGAATCGAGTAGTAAAATAGCTCACAATGCATAAAAGCATGAACTTTCCTGCTCAGGAGACCCTCTACTCTAAAGTTTCCTCAGTCAGCGAAAAACAGTCTGCACAGTCTGCACATTCTTCTATTAACCTAGCCTCACCCATTTCACCTTCAACCCCTCTTATAACTCCATCTCTCTTGGGTTCTGCAGACGATCGTACTAACGGTAGTGCCTCGGATGGAAATTCTGCCACTGTTTTCTTGAGTCCTCCTCCGGCTGCCGTCCACCTCTCACCGAATCTTCCACCAGCTGAAGTTCTCCTTCGTTCTCGATGCCTATTCAAATTAGCCATAACTTACGATCCTTCTCCTATGCATATGCTCAGGCGGTGACCGACCGACCAGCCGTGATATAGAAGAGCCTTTGGTCGATGTGGAATCAGTTGAAAATTGTGGAAGGAGTGATGTTTGTCCACTACGATCCAGACTACACATCACGGATAGTGGTGCCGCAGACACTGGTTCGCGAAATTCTGCAAGACCTACGTATAAAGTTAGGTCACGCGGGTATCAACAAACTGGAGTTTGCAGTGAAACAACACTTTTGGTGGCCACGCCTACATAGGGACGTTGTAAATTTCTGCAATGCATGTGAACTCTGCGGCAGTTTCAAACATCCGTGCCACAGTAATCGGGCACCACTCCAGACAATCACTGCTGGATACCCGAATGAAATCGTCGGTGTCGACATAATCGGGCCCCTGCCGGACGCGCTAATAAACCATAGATACATTCTTGTACTGTTTGACTACTTCAATTAATGGTGTGAGGCGATACTCCTGAAACAAGCGGACACTGTGACTGTAACAGACGCCATACTCGGCAGATGGATTTACAGATGGCGTGCACCCGGACAGCTGTACTCAGACCGTGGATCGAATTGCGAAAGCGCTTACCTTCGGGAAGTGTGCAAATCCCTGGGCACAGACAAGACGAGAACAACGGCCTACCATCCCCAGGGCAACGGCCAGGTGGAAAAAACAAACCGCTCACTAAAATCCTTGCTGAAGGCCTTCACAGACATCAAACCCAGGGAGTGGGACCGCGTACTGCCACGCTGCCTTCTAGCGTATAATACCACGATCCAACAATCCACGGGCCAACACCACACTTCCTGTGGACTGGCAGAGAGATGATACTTCCGAGCGACAACCGACTATCAAAGATCAGTCTCCAGTCACTGATGGTCACAGAGTACGTATCGAAGATGATTGACTCATTAGGAACAGCGAACCAGATGGCCCACACACACCTCGAAGCATCGCGGAGATACCAGGAGGATTATTACGACAAGAAGTTCTTTGGAGCCCCACTACGAGCAGGCGACCGGGTATGGTCTAACAAGACACAGACAACTCCGAAAGTACCAGCGAAACTCTATAAAGAATAGCGCGGACCCTTTGTGGTAGAATGAGTACTATCAGGTACCAACTGTCATTTGGGAAGTTGAATAAGCGCAGCCATCCTTTGTGGCACATTTCAAACAACTCGAACCATGCCTACCACACACCACGCCGGAAAGCAATTTGAGCCCGCCAGAGGTTGCCGTCGTAGTGGAGGTACCGATTCAGGGAGGAATCGCTAGGACGTCGAGGACGACGCTTTCGGGTGAAGGAGGGAGTGTAGTGTGAAACCGAAACTGACTGACTGCCCAGTAATTGCATTTCGTTGGCAACCACCTTTTCTCCTTCATTTTTACAGACTGTGCAAGTTGCGGGACGCCCAGCACAGAAATACAAGACACTGAGAACGAAGACCAAAACGTAACATTACCATTTTGTGTTGTAACCATTTCATATTTTTGTGGTGTTGCTACCTTTTGCACCAATATAATTTCGTCCGAATCAGTCTCCCTGATTCAAAACATACCACTATATATATATACATATATATATATATTCCTGATGTCGAAATGGAGGCATTGAAATCACTGAAAAATGACTCCAATATTATCATTCTTCCGGCAGACAAAGGCAATGCAATCGCACTGTTGGACAAAACAGAATATACAAAAAAGATAAGGCAACTCATCGAAGACAAGGAAAGTTATCAACCGGTCAACTGGAACCCCTTAAAGCAGCTGAGGAATCAACTAACCAAATCCTTGTCCACTCTCAAGAAAAACAAGAAACTAACGGATGACGAACATAGACGAGTCAAACGCACAGAAGGTCCGATACCACGGTTCTATGGACTACCGAAAGTGCACAAACCCGATGTACCACTACAACCCATTGTCGCATCCACAACAGCACCCAACTACAATCTCGCAAGGTACCTCTTTCAACTACTACGCCCATCATTACCTGCAAACCAAAATGATGCAAAAAGTCCCACGACTTTCATGGAACGCATCAAGGGACTGACCATTGAACCAGATGAAGTGATGGTCTCTTTCGATGTAACCTCACTGTTCACCAATATACCGAAGCAAATGGCCATCGAAAGTATCCGACACTTGTTGCAAAACGACCAAAATTTACAATGAAGAACGAAACTTTCTGTGGACGAAATAGTGAAACTCGTAGAACTCTGTATGGAAACCTATTTCCAATTCGACGAAAAGGTGTACCAGCAGATACGAGGACCTCCAATGGCTTCGCCACTCTCAGGGCTGCGTGCGGATGCAGTTATGAAACACTTCGAAGCTAAAGCCTTTGAAATCCTACAACCTCGTCTGTGGATACGTTATGTGGACGATACGTCGTCATACTCAGAGCCTCCACGGTAGACCAAATGATCAACGAGCAGGTGCCTGGTATCAACTTCACACGAGGGGAAGAAAAAAAGATGGACAACTCCCCTTCCTCGACATCCTTCTCATGAAGCAACCCGACGGAAGAATCCAAACCACGGTCTACCGAAAATCGACCCCGAAGGACCGCATCCTCAACTACAACAGCAATCACCCTTAGTGCCACCTAAAAAGTTGTGTGCGAACTCTATTCCGTCGAGCAAGCACACACTGTAGCACACCGGAGTTAAGGACAAGAGAAAGAAGTCGACTCTTTCAACTGTTCCAATCAAACGTATATCCCAGGAGTTTTATCAGAGCGTGCCTCAGAGGTAAGAAACAAACAACACATACGAAAGAAGGAACTTGGATAAAGCTACCCTACATACGCGGCAC